GGCTTCCCGTTGGCTGCGGGCGTCCTGCGTGGTGGCGGCTGGCCACCAGGATGGCGCTAAGTGGCAAGGACGAGGTGGCCGGCGGCGGAAATAGAGGAGAGGATGTGGGAGGCGGCTGGATGATGATTGGGGGCGCGGATTTCAAGGAGGAGGAAGGAGAAGGCCCAAAATGGCATGGAGGGGGTCTATATAAGTTAAGGGGGCTAGGGTTAGGGGGTTTGAGGCCGTTTCGGAGCCGTTCAATCTCAATCGGACGACCCGGAGCGGAGGGGGTTAGATAAATGGGCTAGTGGGCTGTGCTAGAGAGAGATGGGCTGAGAAGAGAGGAGAGAGAGGCACGGCAACAGTTTTCGGAGACCGAAAACGTCCTACGTTAGACCGGCTATACTGCCGCTATAGTTATCCGTTGGGGCATCAAACGATCTCCGAATGCGATGAAACTTGACAGGCGGTCTATCTACACTATAATAAGACCACACGTCAACTCTCATCCCATTCCGAGAACATTTTCCGGTCACTTATAAAATACTATTCGGACATGCCGCGGGCGCGTGCAAGTGTGTCTGGGCTCAGAACGGACAACGGAGAGAACTGTGGGAACCCGGACGGATGCAAGTTTTGAAAACATGATGATGCAATGCACATGATGACATGACAAGATGCAACACGCAAGCGAATGACATGGCAACAACAGCGAATAACTGGACGACACCTGGCACATCGGTCACGGGGCGTCACATAGTATATACAGCCACTTACTGAGAAGACATATGTTATTGACTTCAAGATTCTTGATACCAAGGCCCCCTGGTCCTTTGGTCGACAGATGATATCCCATTTGGCGAGTCGGTATTTTCTCTTTAGTTCATCACTCTGCCAGAAGAACCGGGATCGATAGAAGTCCAGCCTTTTCCTAACACCAACTGGAACTTCAAAGAAAGATAAGAGAAACATAGACATACTCATGAGCACCGAATTAATAAGAATCAGTCGGCCTCCATATGACATGAGTTTGCCCTTCCAACAACTCAGTTTCTTCTCAAACCGATCCTCGATGCACTTCCATTCTCTGTTTGTCAGCTTACGATGGTGAATGGGTATACCTAAGTATGTGCAAGGTAATGCCCCCAATTCGCATCCAAACAATTTCCTATAGGCCTCTTGTTCCTCATTGGCTCTGCCAAAGCAGAACAACTCGCTTTTATGAAAATTGATCTTCAATCCGGTTAATTGTTCAAATAAGCATAACACCAGCTTCATATTTCTCGCTTTTGCCAAGTCGTGCTCCATAAAGATGATTGTATCAGCGTACTGCGGGATGGACACGCCACCATCAACTAGATGAGGCACCAAGCCACCCACCTGACCGGCCTCCTTTGCCCTTTCTTCAGAATTGCCAACATGTCAACCACAATGTTGAACAGAATAGGAGACATTGGATCACCTTGTCTCAGGCCCTTGTGTGTCTGGAAATAATGACCTATGTCGTCATTCACTTTAATTCCAACACTTCCTTTTTGCATGAAAGATTCTACCTGGCGTTGCCAAGCTTCATCAAAACCCTTCATGCGTAAAACCTATTGAAGGAAATGCCATTTGACTTTATCATATGCTTTCTCGAAATCCACCTTGAAAACAACTTCATCTAGTTTTTCCGTGTGAATCTCATGGAGCGTTTCATGAAGGACCACAACCCCTTCGAGGATGTTCCTGTCCGGCATGAAAGCAGTTTGGGTAGGCTGCACCACAGCATGCGTAATCTGTGTGAGCCTATTAGTCCCGACCTTGGTAAAAATTTTGAAACTAACATTAAGAAGACAGATGGGCCTGAATTGCTCAATTCTCACAGCCTCTGTTTTCTTAGGAAGCAGGGTAATCGTTCCAAAATCCAGTTGAAAAAGCTGAACCTGTCCAGAGAATAGATCATTGAACAAAGGCAACAGATCCCCCTTAATAATATGCCAACACTTCTTATAGAATTCAGCCGGAAGTCCACCCGGGCCGGGAGCCTTATTATTTTTCATCTGCGATATGGCCTCAAACACTTCTTTCTCAGTAAAAGGAGCGCCCAAAATATTATTCTCCACTGCAGTTAGTTAAGGAACATCCTCAATCCTGGACTCATCCAGAGACACACAGTTATCCTCTGGAGGTCCAAACAACTGCTTGTAATACTCGGTAATGTATAATTTTAGGTTCTCATGTCCTAAAATCGTTCCTTCATCTTGTTCAAGCTGAAAGATCCTCTTCTTTCTATGTTTACCATTAGTGATCATGTGAATGAATTGAGTGTTCGCGTGTCCCTGGACTACTCGTCGGACCTTGGCCCGCAACGCCCACTTCAATTCCTCTTCACGAAGAAGCTCTTTCAGCCTCATCTCAGCGTCAAGCTTGGCCTGAAACTCCGAGGCCGGCTGAACTGTGGTTTTTGCTTTTATATCTAAGGACTGAATAAGGGAAAGGAGTCGTTCCTTTTCGACCTTATAAATCCCACTAAGATGCTTAGCCCACCCACGCAGGAAACTTCTCAAGTGCCTGATCTTATTCTGCCAGCGCTCAAGTGCAGTCCTACCTCCTGCATCCTTAGCCCACTCTCTGGCTATGAGATCAAAGAAGCCGTCTCGTTCAAACCAAGCAAGCTCGAACAAAAATGAATTTTTGTTTCCCAAGTGGGTGGCCTCACCAAAGTCCAGAAATAAAGGTGTGTGGTCAGAAATTCCACGGGAAAGAGTCTGAATTGTTATAAAGGGAAACTTCTGTTCCCATTCGACGCTAGCCAACACTCGATCCAACTTTTCAAACGTCGGATTTGCCAACGCGTTAGCCCAGGTGAATTTTCTTCCCGAAAGCTCAATCTCTCTCAGATCCAAGCTTTCAATGATAGTATTAAACATGAACGACCATCTACCGTCAAAGTTATCATTGTTCTTCTCCTCACGCCTTCTAACGATGTTGAAATCACCCCCCACCAGGATAGGAAGCTGCTCAGAGCCGCAAATCCTAACCAGATCAGCCAAGAACTCGGGTTTGAGTTCGGGCTGTGTGGCACCATATACCGCCACCAGAGCCCAATTGAACGCATCTGCCTTCGACCGCACCCGAAACTTAACTGCAAAATCTCCCATTACCACACTTCGAACTTCGAGCGAATCGCATCTAACTCTGAGTAAGATCCCACCCGATCTCCCTCTCGGTGGCAGACAGTGCCAGTCAAAATCAATACCTCCCGACAAAGTATTCAGAAATTGTGGCGCAAAATTATCTCTGCCAGTTTCCGACAAAGCGATAAAATCTAACCTATGCTCGATAGACGCCTCTGCAAAAAACCTTCTTTTAGCCAAGTCTTTCAGACCTCTACTATTCCAAAAGGTTCCTTTCATAATTCATCATGGAATTTTTTTTGTCGTACGGATCCTAGCACTCGTACGCACTGCGGACACCGGATAAACCTTCCGCTTCCATTTGCGTTTAGGAATGTTCTGACTCTCCAGCCGGTCCTCACAACCAGTCTCAGAAGGTCTAACCACGACATGCTCAGATGTATCATCCTCCACCTCTGACTCAGGTAGGGGAGGTATAAGATCCGCACAAAAATTATCGAGCACCCTAACCCCCAAAGCATCAAAGTCGGAATCACTCATGGGCTTAACCGCTGCTAAGTTACGAATCATCTCTAAAGCCCGCTCAGCCTCTGAATCCAGGAGATCATTAACAGAATTTGAAATTTCACTATCATTACTACCTAGTAAAACTCCTATCGCGGTCCTCTCTAGGCTCCAGCACAACGGTTCCCCATTGTTAATCACTGGAGCAATGCTCTTTCACGCGCTCAATTGATGATGTTCATCAGCTTCACTCCGGGGTCAAGTCAATTACTCCCTCCAATACAAACAAAGTGGTGTGACTTTAGTTCAGCTTTAGTTCAAATTTGAACTAAAGCCACAACACTTCTTTTTATCGGAGGGGGTATCTCTGACCATCTTTGCGGTAAGCTCCTCAACATCCTCCCATCTTAATCTTGCATCAATAATTATGATGTATTCTAGCAAAGTATTGATGCCATACTTTGTTTTCCATCTTCAGCCATAGTCCATGTAGTTTGATTATTGGCTTGTACGGTGGTGCCTACATAAACTTCTTCCCTGCAGTAAATTATAGCTGGACTTTTCGTGCAAAAATAAAGAAAATCTAGGCACTGGTGGGCCTGTTCTGAAGTCCTCCCACTCCACACTTCACAAACTCCTCGTGCGGAGCTGAGCCGAACGAAATAACAGCAAGAAGCTAGCTTTAAGAAGTTGTGGTCGATCCTAGTGCAAAAATCTAGAGCGAGGCCAGCCCAGCTTCACAAAAACGAGAATCTGGAGTTCACCCATATTACAGCCGAAATGCCACCGCCAAGTATAACGTTTCGCGCAGCCACACGAAAGAAAACGATTCATCCCCTCGAGAGCCAACTGTCGCTACGAACAGGTACCACGTCTCCCCTCGGCAGCCATCCTGGGCTGGTTCTAGCCGGCCCAATATGGTGGTGGACAGCCCAACAACCGCTGCTAGCTAAAGATGGCGAAGTAGAAGCTGATTTACTAAGAAAAAACATCTGCAGGCAGCCAGGCACACAACAATCCAGCTACTTGACCATAGCTTGAGTCCCAGCGCCAGTACCATCATATTTTGATCAAGTTACCATCCTTTCCACAAAGAAAAAATGTATTATACCAAGGTCTGAAATATCCTATTCTGTGGTTATCAGTTTATTGTACTATCATATTTTGCATTCCAACACACTGGTATCCTGTAACTATTAAGCTACCCATGAATATTGCAATTATGACCAGCCAAAATTGCAAGATATTGGAGCACATTGTTACACAACAATCTAAAGCAGAGAGAACTTACATATCAACAAAACTGAAGCAGTGTGTAAGCACTATCCTACCCCATCGCTATCACATAACAAGGTTAAAAAACACAAGCTAGCCTCATTGAGGTGTCATCATAACTCAAGAAGTGTGGATATTTTGATCAAACAGCGAAGCATCATTGTTGGTCAAATTTTCAACGACGACATCTCTAGCGCTCAACTTGCTTAACAATTCTCTTGCCTCCTTCATATAGCCTTCGTGTGCCAAACCATCAATGAGTATAACGTAAGTTGATTCATCAGGCATGCAACCATCAGACACCATATCAGCAAAAATATCAATAGCATGATCTGTTTTGCCGTTTCTACAAAGCCCTAAGAGTATTGTATTGTAGAGAACAGCATGGGGTGATATGCCTGTATCTTGCAGTTTATGAACCACCTGGATTGCCTCTTCAACTTTATCCTCTTCATCCAGAAACTCAGCCAACAGCTCATATTTTACCTCTGAGTTGAATCCTTTGTTGCCCATTTCATTCAACAACTCAAGGGATTGCTCCATGTTGCCAGTTTTCGCAAGCCCGTCTATTAGTGTATTGTAAGTGACTGAATCAGGATAGCAGCCTTTCTTGGGCATTTGCTTAAATACTTCCATGGCCTTCAGCGTCAACCCTTTTTGGCACAAGATGCCAATGAGCGTATTGAATGGCGAAATGTCTTGAGGTTGATCAGTTTGGCTCGTCTTCGGCATTAGCTCCTCAACATCCTCCCAACAATCACCATTGCACAAAGCCTTCACTAGAATGTTATAGGTAGTGGTCTTAGGTTTGCAACCATGGGATTCCATCTTCACTAGTAACTCCAAGGCATTAGCCACATGGCCTTGCTCACAAAGGGCACTGATGACAGCATTGTAAGTGGCAATATTTGCCGTGCATTCATGCTTTGACATTTTGTCGAGAAGCCTAATCGCCTGCTGGAGCAATCCTTGTTGTTGACACAAGGAAGTGATGACCACACTGAGAGTTGCTTCACTCGGGGGACAATTCTCCCTGAACATCTCGTCTATAAGCTCCTCAACGTCCGCCCACCGCCCGGCCGTGCGCAAACCTTTCAAGATAGTGTTGTAGTTGACGGTATTTGGCGTGCACCCGTGAGAAGGCAAGTTCTTCAGTAACTCACGGGCGCCGTCCACATCGCCTTCCCTGCACATCCCGTCCATGATAACATTGTATGTCACGTTGGTTGGCGTGCACCCCTCGGCGCGCATCAGATCGATCAGCTCCATGGCCTGCCTGTACCCGCTGCCCTTGCACGTCGCCTCAAGGAGGATGTTGTAGGTGACGACGTCAGGGGGGCAACCCCGGGAGAGCATACCGTCGAGCACCACGAGCGCGTCCGTGACCTGGCCGCGCACGCACAGCGCGTGGATGAGCGGGTTGTAGGCGTACGCGCTGGGGCGCACGGGCATGCCGTCCACGACGCGGCGCGCCTCGTCGAGCCTCCCCACGCGGCAGTACCCGTCGGCCAGGGCGCTGTACGTGACGGCCGTGGCCGCCGAGCCGCACGCCTCAACGACGCGCGCGGCGTCGTTGAGGCGGCCCCGGCGGCAGAGGTCGCGGACGAGCTTGTTGGCGAGCAGGACGTCGGGCGGGCAGGGAGAAGACTCGACGACGCGGAGCGCCGCGTCGAGGTCGCCGCGGTGGACGAGCGAGCTCAGGCGGCGGTCCTCAGCGTGCAGACGGCGCGGCGGAGGCGGGGGTGGGTCGGGTTTGGGCTTGGCGAAGCTCGGCGCGTTGGGGTTGGAGCTGCGTGGGCGGCTTAGGGATGTGCGGCGCGGGTGGCGGGGGTGGCCGGAGAAGGAGGGAGGGGGTGAGGGGAGGAGGAGGAGGGTGCAGAGGGTGGGAGGAGATGGCGACGAAAGCATCGTGCGTGTCTGGATTTCCTTGTTTCGGGCAGGGGATGAGCCGTGTATGTGTTGTGGGCGCTCATCGTCCAACTGTAAAGTAGAGTCGCGTAGAAAATCCCAGCACAAACAAAACAATTGCACTTCGAAAAATACAAAGTACACAGGATAAGCAAAGTTCAATTCTATTTTTCGAGAAAATGTCCGCTGAAAACCAGATCAAAATCATGTTTGGAACTTCTAAAAACATATAAAGAAATGTTAAGCAGGTGATGTTCTCACTAAAAAAAAGGGGAAAACGAAAATAGACGTTCTAGAAACACGAAGATTTTTTTTTTGGCGACTATTAGGCGCCGGCCCGCTGGCCCAATAGTTGGGCCAGTCACGCCACAGCCGCCCGATGCAGCGCAGCATCGTCGTTTGATCTGGCTTCCGCATCCTTTTCTTCCCCATCCCTCGCCTTCCTCTTCTTCCCGAGCGACACGGCCGCCCCAGGCCCGCGTTGATTACCCCGAGTGACCCCTCACCGATTACCTCGAGCGGGACGACCGGCCTCCAAGCTCGCCATGCTCCGCCGTCGACAGTCGCCGCTCACCCCTCGTCGGTGCTGCCTCCCGCCTGCCTCCCTGCAGATTCAATGGCGACGACGCCGTGGTTCGCATCCAAAAAGACGGTGGTAGCAAATATTACAAAATTGGGGGCTGGTTCCAGCAAATCAAAAAATGACACTGGTTCCAGCAAATCAAAAATACAATGGTAGCAAATAAAGCAAATTGGACGTTGTTCCAGCAAATAAAAAAATGCCGGTGGTAGCAAAAAAATGAAGCTCGCTCCAGCAAACTAAAATGCCGGTGGTAGCAAAAATTACAAAATTGAGGGCTGGTTCAAGCAAACCCAAAAAAAATCGGTGGTAGCAAAAACTTGTGATGGTTACAGAAAAAAATAGTAGTAACAAAAATGCGAAATTGGGCGATGGATGCAGCTTTGCCAGCCGTGGATGTAGCTTTGCCAGCAAATGGATGCAACACCTCCGTTGAGCGATTGCAGCACCTCACCCAGCACCGATGACAGGGGATGCAGCTTCCCTGGCAACGGATGCAACACCTCTGCCAGCCGGTTCCAACACCTCCGCCATGTCGTCACAGCGCCGCCATCGACGGATGCATCTTTGCCGGCAATGGATGCATCTTCACCGGCGACGGATGTAGCATCTCTCTCGCCGGTGGTATCTTTCTTGGTGCCGTTTGAAGCAAATCGCGAAGCCGGTTGTAGCTTTCGTCAACGCCCAGCCGTAGCTTCGCTGTCCTCCCCGTAGCTTTCCGTCGTCGTTCTTTGAAACTTTTTGCAATGCCGGTTGTAGCTTTCTTCGTCGTCCCTTGCAGCTTTTTCCTGTGGCAGTGGTCAGCCCCAGCATCCATTGCCATGGTTGAAGCTTTTTGCGACGTCAGTTGTAGCTTTTTGCGATGTGGTTGCAGCTTTTTTGGTATTGGCAGTAGCCAACCCTGACATATGTCGTCGTGGTTGAAGCTTTTTGTGACGCTGGTCGAAGCTTTTTGCGACGCCGATTGTAGCTTTTTGCGATGGCACTGAGCGGTTCCAGCATTTGACGACGCCGGTTGAAGCTTTTTGCGGCGCCTGTGGTACCTTCCTTGAACACCGGTTGTAACATGGGAGGTGTCGCTTGATGCTCACAGCTCCGATGAGATTCTCCCAGCAGCAAATGCTCAACGGCGTCGCCCATAGCAGCTCGCAGTCTCCCCGTCGTCGTTCTGCCCCTGAGCTCATAAGCTATGGCGTCCATAGCAGCTCGTAGGAGCCCCCGTCGCAGTCCGCCCCGAGCTCGTAAGCCATGGCCGCCCTGACCTTGAGCTCGCAGGGCATGGCGCCCTATGGTAGCAGCGCCTCGGGGTGACGACACATGGGAGCAGCACCCCCATGGAGGTGCAGCGTGAGGTGCAAAGGGAGGAGTGCTCGAAGCTGCCTGGTGCTATGGCAGAAGAGGCGAGGCGGAACGGAAAGCGATGGGGGAAAGCGATGCCACGGCCGCGAGGAAGGAGTGGATGCAAGAGTTGGGGAGAATATAAGGTACACATGTTGCCTTTCTGGTGGCTAGCGCCAGCGTGGCGAAGCGACCGGCCCAAGCATTCTGTCGGCGAACCGTGCGTAAATGTTTCCCTTTTTTTAATCTAAATCGTACTAGTTCAAGGTATGCAGCAATGTATAATGATGATTATTTTCATTTTCGCTACTATTATGACCTAGTTTATTTATTTATTCTATTATAAATACCATCTGCTAAATTATTTAGTTTGAATTCGAAATTGCATGGTTCTCTCCTGATATTTTCTCCTGCGATTTGGGGCAACCAGATTGGACTTCAGCCAAAAGGTGGAAAATCAGATTCAACCAGCAGAACATGAGATCCAACCAACATACAGAATGCGTGAACGGAAAATGGAGCAACTAGTATGTCCTACGATAGTTCAAAACTGTGACCTCCATTCCTTCATAACAAGTCTTTCCAGAAGAATGTCAAAACGGGCCACAAAATCATCAGAGTGACAAGTTCAGTTGCAGCCCAGGCCAATGTTACGCCCCCACAAAAAGCCCAGATGGCTTAGTTGACATGTAGAGCTGATGGAAAAACAAGGTACATGAAGACGACTGTAGGATGTTGTTGACTGAAGCTATGGCGATGACGGAGGAAAATGGTGTTTCTTGAACTTGCACAACCGTCTCAGTTTGTCCTCGTCCCTTTTGGTAACCCCGGTCACCTCTTCAATGTACGTTCATTAGCTCCACATCAAACAGAAGAGTTGAGTTCGGCGGTATCTCCCCGGCCTTCTGGTTTCCATAGCTACAAAGAGAGAACAAATCAGAATCGAAACAAGCAGCTCCTGATGTAAAAGCGATGTAGAAGCAGTATATATGTCCTACCCCATAGATGGTGGAATGGTAAGCTTTCTTTTGTCCCCAATGCGCATACCTATAACAAGCAAACGAGACAGGATCATAAGAGATTATGAACTAACCGCATGTATCAGGCATGGAGTAGTACAACATATGCAATAGCCACAGTTATGTGTTGGATGACAATTTGAGAAATTAAATACCGTTGACACCAATGTCCCAGCCTTTAATAACCTGTCCAATACCTGCATGAAAGTGACATTAAAACCAATACTAACAAGAATACAAGTGCGCTAGAGGGTAAAACATCAGAACTTACCCAGCCTAAACGCAAAAGGCTTCCGACCAACATTAGAGTCAAAAATCTTGCCATTCTTCAACTTGCCAGTGTACGTGACAAAAACCTAAAGAAGAATTCAATTGTCAGTAATAATAGTTAAAATATATACATAATAATCCAAGCATACAAAACTCTTTACGTGATCAAATTAATTAGAACAATGCAAAGGCAAGTACATACTGATTACACTGAGCATTGAAAATACTGAGAAATTGCATTAATAAATGGTAGCCTGAACGGAGTTCTTCTGGTGCAACCTAAAAAATGTTTACCTTTTTCCCAGGGGTAGCTTTTTTACCATCTGGTTTGCCCAACGCCACCGTCTGAACAATCAAACCATTGCCATAAGTCCGTGCTTTGGGTGATGTCTGCTCCTTGCTAGCTGAATTCATAACATCAGTCGCTGCCTGGTTCTCACTTCCATTGTTCTCCTTTGTTTTCTTCTTGTTCTTCTTTTTCTTGGCCCCCTGTTTGCTAGGCTCCTCATCATTGTCTCTATAACAAAGAAATGAGATGATTCCATCAGAAATGCACTCAGTATGGAAAGCCAGACACAATATATGACAGCTTAACATACGTACGTTATGGTTCTTTTATCAGCTTGCTTATCAGTGTCACCTTCAGAAGTACTTTGCTTCTTGCTTTTCTTTTTCTTCTGTTTGGCTGCAACAGTGTCAGCTGAGGAAGCTAGCTTCACCTCCTTCTTGTCCTTTTTCTTTTTCTTTGAAACCACATCATTTTCAGCATTAACCTCCCTGGGATGACAGGCAAAATTAAACACATGTTGCTTCATCGTGATTAAACAAATCAGCAAGGGGAAAACAGTGAACTAGCATGTACCCTAACGACTTGTGAGGATCATTAATAGCATCACTTTTCCTTTTCCTGTCTTCAGTACTAGTCCCATTATTTAGATTCTTAGCCTTCTTGGAACTACCTTTAGAACTCTTCTTTGATTCAGAAACAGGAAAGCCATCTTCATCTTCACTTTCCACGGATTCAGCAGGTGGGGTCCTAACAGCAAGCTGAAGTCGAGAATTATCATCAACAGGCTTCTCATCCTCTTGAATCTCCTCAATGACAACTGCAAAATTTGCCCAAATTGAAAGAAAAATCATGAGATGATCTGAGGCCTGAAGGCCAATAGCCCATGCAGCTAAACGCCAATACCACAAATGGCAACATGACTTCTATTTTATTTGAAGGACAAATAAGGACAGGATTAACAATGCTGATTCTATATAAGCATGCACATAAATTCACAGTGCTATCTAAAGAATCTAGGCCTAAGAAACTGGCATATACCATCTAATCCAACATACCGGTGAAATACTAATCAGTGCTAACTAGGCCTACATATGACTGACTATGTACAATAGCTCTCCTATGCACATTTTCCAACAAAAGAAATTGCTTACATCATGGAACATCGGGACCTAGGAAATGGAATTGGAAGCATTACCTGAACTCTTGCCTCTACCCTGGTTGTAGATCAAATCCTCATCATCCTCTGAATCATAGTCCTCGTCATAGTCTGAATCATCTTCGCTGTCTGAACATCCCAGGCTCGTCAGAATCAGTAATACAACGGCATGGCTTGCACAATGGGATCAAATTTACAAGCATACCTGTGTTCATCTGGCCATGGGATACTGGAATGACCACATCATCGTCATCAGATGCCATGAAATCATCATCGGAGCCTTGAAGTGACTCACTACCAGTATCACTATCACCGATGTCCTCGTACACATCACTGACAAAATAATTA